GGCTCTGTCACAAACTGTTTTAAAAAACAATCCTGGATCGTATCAAGAAAGTCACCTGACTCTAAATTTCCTGTCAAATTGCTCCAGTCAATCTGTCTACAGTTGAAATCTCCCATTAGCACAACATTTTCGTATGTAGATGCCTTACGAATTTCGTCCCATAGAAGTTTACTGCACTCCCTATCAAGATTTGGGGCCCTGTAAATCACACCAAAATTAGTTTTTTTCTCGGCCTCGAGAAGCTGTAACCAAACAGATTCAGTGGCTGACGCTTCTAATTTAATATCTTGTCTAACACAACAATTTAAATTGTCTCTGACATACATCGCTACTCCACCACCTTTCCTGTTGACCCTGTCAGTGTGGAATAATTTATAGCCTTGTATGTGACATTCAGAGGGCATCTCTCTATCTTTCAGATTGAGCCAGGTCTCTGTTATAGCAATAATATCTATGTTTCCTGCACTTGCAATTAATCTTAGCTCATCTATCTTATTTCTTACACTCCTGCTATTAGTATAGTAAACCTTAAGGGAGCTAGTCCCTTGCTGCCCTCTGCTGTCCCCCTTTGCTGACCTGATCTATTGTCTTTATTTATAACTTCATGCTGAATGCCTTTTATACATTTACTGTTTCCAACCCTAGTGTTGCAACCTGCTTGTTTCCCACACACACCCATACCTCTATCTTCCATCAGTTTAAAATCATAGGCATTTCACCAATGGCTTCTCATCGAGTCTGCAAGTGCTACCACCCTGCCCCAGAGAGATGTACCCCATCCCTTGCATACATATCATGTTTGCCATAAGAGTTGTTCCAGTTGTCAATGAATGGGATTGCAAGTTCCTTGCAGTATCTGTCTAGCCAGCAATTTACACCATTGCCTAGACAACCATCCATTTCCTACTCCCCTTCTAGGCAAGATGCTACATTGATTGGGATCCCTCCCTTAGACTTAATGAAATCTATAGCTGACCTGTACTTATCTAGCAGCTCTTCTCTCCTACCCTTCCCAATATCATTTCCCCAGCACTGAGACAGATAATGGGCTTGTTCCCATTACCTGACATGATATTATCCAGCCTGTTGACAATGTCCCCAACACCAGCTCCAGGGAAGCACACTCTATTCTCATCTTCTTATTCCTATTACAAAAAGCACGGTCAATATATCTTACCTGAGAGTCATCCAACCACAAGAATGCGCTTACCTCCATTTAGCAGGGGCAGTAGTACCCTTACCTTCACTGGCCATGAAGTACATTCATCCTGGAGAACAGAGAAGCGATTTCCTACCTTCAGATCTTCACTCTTAACTTTCCTTACTCTGATGCGCCTCCCATTACTGTGAACCACTCGCCACTTGTAGCAGGTGCTGGGCTGCACCTCACTGCTGGTAGCCGTTGCTACCTCCCCAACTACAGCCTCCTCACAGCGAGAGACAGACTGCACCTCACTGCTAGAAGTCTCATTCCCCACAACTCCAGCCACCTCACACTCTCTCCCAGACCCATTGAGGTGGACCTTCAGCCTCCTAATCTCCTCCTGGAGAAGCAAGACCTCCTTATACCTCCTTATAACCTCCTTATAAAATCATTTTTTAATTTAATATACAGTCCACAAATTTATATATTTACCAGCATTCCTGGTGATGTATATTTCATTTGTAATTAATAGGGCCAGAGCAACTTGTGGATATGACGGTGGTAGGTATCGAAGGGGGACATTTTTTGCGACCTAGGTGTCCCAAATTCCTACTTATCTAACTGATAAATAATAATTATCTTTGTTCATTTACTGTTATGTACATAATGATACATTCACATAAATGCATAGGTAAGGCACATATGCAACAGTTAGGTATCTTTATTTCGAAACGTTTCGCCTACACAGTAGGCTTCTTCAGTCGAGTACAGCAAAGTTGATAGAAGCAGAAGAGACTTGAAGACGATGTAATCAGTCCATCACCCTTAAAGTTTTGAGGTGGTCAGTCCCTCAGTCTGGAGAAGAGTATTGTTCCATTGTCTGGAATAATATTATTCCAGACAATGGAATAATATTATTCCAGACAATGGAACAATACTCTTCTCCAGACTGAGGGACTGACCACCTCAAAACTTTAAGGGTGATGGACTGATTACATCGTCTTCAAGTCTCTTCTGCTTCTATCAACTTTGCTGTACTCGACTGAAGAAGCCTACTGTGTAGGCGAAACGTTTCGAAATAAAGATACCTAACTGTTGCATATGTGTCTTACCTAAACAACCTGTCGGTATTTTATACCATTTTATTGTTCACATAAATGCAATTTTCCACAAATATCTTGCTGCCAAGTCTATCAAGGCTGGGAATCAAGACTAGTACTAAGGGAAGCGAACACAATTTTGTAGTACCCACAGTAGGTGGTCAGGCTTCAAACACCATTTATTGTAGATGAATGGTTCAGAGAACCGACATGTTGATAAATGAGACACATGTGCAACTCTTGGGTAATAAAGATACCCAAGAGTTGCACATGTGTCTAATTTATCAAACACCATTTATTGTATAGCAATGAAAGAGTGGAACTGACTGCCTGGACATGTCAAAGACTGTCCTAGCCAGTTCAGGAAGGGAGTTAAAAAGTGCCTAATGAATGAAATTACAGAAAGGGAGGAGAGTGAGATATATTGCACATATTTCTGTAAGCTTATCCTTGCTTTAATATTTATGTAAATAACTCAGTTTACCATATTTCCAGTATATCTCACTTTATTATAACTCATAACTTTTAATGTTTAAATAATATAACTTTTAATGTTTAAATAATACAATTACAGGGACCCCAGTGGAAATAAATCACTTTGTCTGACATTTTTGAGGGGGTTATCCTAGGTAATTTACACATATATGAGCAGCGCTGTATGGCCCTTGTGGTTTAGCGCTTCTTTTTTGATTATAATAATAATACACATATATGATAATTATACTGATGTGTACCCGTGCCTAAATCAAGTTACTAACACCTGGTGGTTACCACAGTAACTACAACGTAAACACACTGGCTTGTGGGAGAGGGTAAGCAACCAACATCACCCACTTGTTTTACATCTCTCACTCTACACTTATCACTAAAATAACACCAGATCTAGCATATAGTGCTCTCTGAGCCTTTGTATATTGATGGAATATAAGTTTGAGCTTTGAGTCCTGGGGTGTTGATCAGTTGTAGAGAACTGGGGATGCCTTTGTAATTTCGAAGTCACATTTGTTAGATACATGTATTGTAAGATGTTTTACTCACTGTGGGTGAAATATCACGTAATAAATGTTTTATATGCTAAAAGTGTCGTTGAATTTATCACTTGTTGGGTTAGGATGTTGTTTGTTACGTACATAGTTGCAACTAATGAGATATTTTATTGTGACGTTTCGCCCTCCATATTTTATTGTGACGTTTCGCCCTCCAGCTTTGTCAAGCCAATACAGTCTGATAAATTAGGCACATGTGCAACATTGGGTATCTTTGATGAGGAAACGTTTCGCCACACACTGGCTTCATCAGTCCATACAAAGGAAAATGGTATGGACTGATGAAGCCACTGTGTGGTGAAACGTTTCCCCATTAAAGATACCAAAGTGTTGCACATGTTTTAATTTATCAACTTGTAGGTTCTCTGAACCACTCATCTACAATACAGTGTGTTGGCTTGATATAGCTTCTGGAGCACGAAAAGTAGCCACGTTGAAATGTCTCGTTAGTTGCACATGTGCCATTTTACCTAAGATGTTGGTAATTTCTACTGATGATCTTATCTGCCTGTATCTCAGTGGCAAGCAGGGCATTTATATAGAGTTTATATTTTTTAATCTATACTTGATTTGTCTGGTCTTGCAGGATTTATTACTCTCCATTTGTGCACCCCACGATGGGAGGTGCCTTGATGGTGATGAGAGGCTCTTGATGCAAAGAATTTCAGCTATCTTCCATTTCCTTGGCTTGAACCAGATTGCCTGCCAGGCACTACATGACCCATACAAATTTAGGATTTCCCTAGCAAATATAATACTACTACTAATTCATTTCTGAATCTTATATTGTACTACATGTCATTTCATATAGTATGTAAAACAATGGTTCAAGAGGGTTGCCTTAGTTCTGTTGAACAACTGTTAATCCAAGGAATTGGAGCTCTCTCTTCCTTGATCAAGTTTGATTAGTGTTCATTTGACAGGTTCTTTATATCCCTACAGGTATGTGAAACTACTTAATACCAAGTGTTGATTGGCCCATATGGGTATGCAACCAAAAATAATGTACCATATAATTTTCACTAATATCTCCCAGAATAGCAGTTTGCATAAGAACTACTGATTCCAAGGTGTACATGGGTTATATATGTTGTAAAATGCAAACTAATGTCCGAATTCTGGCAAAAATTTAAAAAAAAAAAATGTTTCTAGAGCTTCCTAGTCACCTAACCTATCCAAATGTAATGCAGCTAATCCAATCTAATTTAAATCAACCTTAAAAAGGCATTTATTGTGATGGCAACAACTCTGCAGCAGCCACTGAATTTCCTAACTGAAATAATGGTTCTGCTCACAGTAGTGACATTCTTAAGTTGGATTTAAACTGGGTTAGTATAACTTTAAGATGAGGACACAAAACATATGAATGACAGAAAAGACTTCAAGGCTGGACAAATTTAATGACCCCACCAATTAGGAATGGCAAAAAAAAAAAAAAAAAAGTGTTTTTTGTCATAAAATATCTTTAAATAACTGACATTTATTACACACCTTATACTGTATTTTATTTTTGGAGAGACTTTCTTAATTAGTTATATATATATACCATATTATAGTGCCAAAAGAATGAATTAAATTTTGATAACTTTTTTTTGTTGCCTTTTTCATTTGTTTATTTATCTTATATTTATGTATATTATATTTGAATATAATACTGTAATTATTTATATTTTATATGCTAGAGGCACTAGCGTATGGGCCTACTAAGATTTGTTCATTATTGCTCGATCACTGACCAAACTTAATAATTACACCAAAAAAAAAAGTATCTTCAAATATTTTAAACTGTCCAAAGAGAGTTTTTCCCTCATAATTAAGGTAGTTCCTAGCCAATTACAGCTTCTAATCTTTGTTGTCACTCCAGTGAGTCTGCTCTTTTTGTTTTTTTTTGTCTCCTGTACCAGAGAGCTGTTATCTAAACTTCAAAGTGTCACCCCTTTTGAATGGCTATATCCTTGCCTGTGGTCACAGGTGTCTGCAGATCACATCTCAAGTGAATATCCCAGTATCACGAGATCTCTCTCACTGGGCTTCAGTCAGCACGGTATTACAGACAAGATTAGCTACAAGGTATTATTTAGGCATTCCGAGACTTGTATGCCTTGCTGAGTGTTTGGCGTTTGAGCCCTTTGTAGTGTTGCTCAGATCATCATATAAATTCTGGCCCATTACTATGAACTTGCTGTATATGGTATGCCAGCACCACTTAGTATTTTGTTACATGTGCATCTTTATACATATGCAAACTACATATTTTTAAGGTAATCATTGACAACTTTATAAAATATGTATTTTTAAATGGATAGAGCTCATTTTGTTGTGGAGTAATGGTCTCAAGAACAAAGATGGAAATCCAAACACATGATTTTGAGGATATTAGTACAAGCTTCCTAAACAAGTAGTACTGTCTTTTCGTATGACAATGCGTATCATTGTAATACAGAACAGTATTTTTTTCCGTGCTGTTAGAGACTGACACTGGAGTAGTTCTTTGCCTTTGCAGTATCATTTAATTTTAAGAGATCTTGAAGTACAAATTCTTCAGGCTTATGTTCTGCATTGTATCTTTTTTGTGTGTTGTGTATATTAACTAGAATTAATATACAGTAATATGCAAATCAGATATAGAAGTAAAGCATAAGGTAGCAATGTCTTGGATATTCTGTAGTAAGTACTTTACTTGTAGTTACCCTAGTGTACAAATACTATTTCTAAAGTTTTCTGTGCTAATTTAAGTCAAGTACACAAGAATGTATGCATATGCTCTAGCAGTGTACTTAATTATCTGCTTGTTGATGTTTTCTTTTGTACTGGGGGATGCTTGTACAGTACATGATCTTTGAAGTATTCAGAATGAGGTGCTTGTACACTCTAAACTGTATTCATTGATTGTTAGTCCATATATGATACTGTATATAACAAATGATCAGTAATAACTGCATATTCAGTTTTCTATACATACTGTAGAATGTTCGTAGTAGGTGAACAATATTAGTAAGTCAGTAAGTGTGAATAAAGATGCTGGTAGTGGGGTAAGTCAGTAAGTGAGAATAAAGATGCTGGTAATGGGGTAAGTCAGTAAGTGGGAATAAAGATGCTGGTAGCGGGGTAAGTCAGTAAGTGGGAATAAAGATGCTGGTTGCGGGGTAAACCTTTCACTACAGTGTTTCACTGGAGGCTGAGCTTTATCAGATGTGAAGCCCAGCCTTGGATGAAATATTGTAAAAAAAAAAAGGTTCCCATGCATACATGTGTATCTATTTCCATTGTTCTTATTGAATCAATATTTGCTTCAGTAATTCATATACTACTGGTAATTCCATCTCGGCACTTATGTGCTGACTGATGTGTTCATTTGTATTTGAGAGAGTGGGCTATTTTTTGTATGTGAAGATATATTTATTATGATAAACATACTTTAAGTTTCCTGGGAGGATACATCATATAAATTATGTAGATTTGAAGATAAATACTGTACAAGATATATACCATATACAGTACTGTATTTTCAGGCTGCTTCTCAAAGATGGAAGATAATAGGGTAGAGTACATATATCAGCATTTTTTGGTGACTTAGTTTGCTATGTATTTTGTGAAGAATTATAATATTAATAACTATAACACAGCAGTGACTTTGGGTAATTGCTACTCAACATAGCTGCTATGGATCAGACCATGGACAGGTTGCAGCTGAGCCCATCAGTTAAACTGCTGGAACTTTATACTTCACTTCCATAAACAGAGTCCAAAAGTACTCCAGAACATAGTTGTCATGGTGTTTATTCATATGGTATTTTCAAGTTTCAGTGAGACAGCCCTCCTGCATGTCAGCAAAGCAGTAATTGACTTCTAACACCGCCAAAGGAATAAGTGCTGAGCTGATATATTCGAGGTACCTCGGCTTTTCTGGGCACAACAAATCACAGCTTATTTAATAGGTACAAGGTTGTAGCTTACTGCACCAAGAGTTGGGCATTTACCATGATGTGGCTTGGGTGTGTCATTGTATTATCAGTGTGCAAAGGGATACTGAGAATGATCATCACGTCTTTGTGTTTTGGAGAAATACACTGTCCATTGAATGACAGCACTAATCCATAATTTGATACTTTCACTCCATTGTAAGTTGCTGAATCTTCTGTAACTCACCCTTTTCATGTCTAAATTAGTGTTTTGCTTGACACTGTTGCCAGAAAAAATCGACAATTACTGAATGTTATGGAGAGCCTGACCTTCAGAGATTTAGAATTATCAGAAAATTCTATATTTGCACTTAGGTGCAGTTTGAATATTTGTTATTATCTTTTTGGCCATTTAGTAATCAGCTTTGTTTCTCTCTCTGTATATCCTTTCGACTCGCCAGCCTTGCACCTCTTCTAACATGGAGTGTTTTATGCATTTTCTTTTTTGTTTTATACATTTGTTGTGTACATATGTAATTATTTCTACACTATATAGTATGTATTGTCTGTATTTCTTGAATGCCCCTTGCAATAAGTTCTTATTCAGTATTGTATACAGCTGTCAGTCATTCTTATAGTTCTCCTAACACTGTTTTTCATATTTTTGTTTTTCATATGAGCATTTCTTTCTGTATGTAGCTACACATTTCCATCTTTTTTTAATGTCATCTTCATAGCTTGTTTACTTTTTTCTAGTTTTATCCGTGTACAGTAGTTTTCCCACATTTTTATTTCATTGCTAGTAAAAGATTGTTTATAGCTAATTCCTGATGTCAGGTTCCAAGACCAATTTTGGACTATGCAGTGGAAATATATAGAAAAGGTGAATAGAAAAGAGAAAAGGCATCTGTATCTGAAGACAGCCTTAGTATGCATTTTTCCTCTTGAAAACATGTAAAATTGTCAGTTTCATGTACAGCATATTTTCAAATTTCTGTAATTAATATAGTGTAGTTACAGGCACTTGTAATTTTTGTTCTAGAAGTTGTTGTCTCTTAATGAAAAATTTTATAATTCTAGGTGCATAATGATTAACTTAATTTTGCACTGTGTAATGACATTTTTTTTGAAAGGATATCTGGACTATGGAGCTACCAGATACTCTAAGAATTATGAGTTATTTTCAGTTGGGTGTTAGGTAATATTGCTGTTCTGGTGATAGCAGTGAATATTTTGTACATAAGGTATGTACTGCCTCGTCACTGTGCTGCATCATTGGGAGCTGATGAGTAAAAGTTTTCTACCCATGACAACATTATTCAATGGGTATAGTTTAATATATTCCTTCTACGTACGTACAGTGGTCTCTCAATAATCGTCCGGCCTGAAAGTCGTCCACTTCGGAAATAATCCTGTTTTTTCATCAAAATATTGGCTCGCAAATGGTCCGGTAACTCGCTAATAGTCCTTCGTCCCGGACGCATACTCACGCTCTGAGCTGCTTCGGCCTTTCCTTCCCAGCCAGTGTGCCATTGTTTACCAGTGAGCAACGGTCCCCTCATGTGCTCCAGTGAAATATTTCATAATAATCCATTTATTTTAGTGCTTGCAAGTTATTTAAGTGCTAAATAAGCTACCATGGCTCCAAAGAAAGCTCCTAGTGCCAAGCCTTTGGTAAAGAAGGTGAGAAATGTGATTGAATTTAAGAAAAACATCATTGAACAATATGATAGTGGTGTACGTGTGGGCGAACTGGCCAGGATGTATAACAAATCCCGTACAACCATATCTTCCATCATAGCCAAGAAAAAGGAAATCAAGGACGCTGTTGTTGCAAAGGGGGCAAATATGCTGACAAAAATGAGATCACCAGTACTTGAAGATGTTGAGAAGTTATTATTGGTGTGGATAAATGAGAAACAATTAGCAGGAGATAGTCTTATGACGTCGCTTATTTGTGAAAAGGCTAGGCAGTTGCATGACGATTTGGTAAAGAAATTGCCTGCAACTAGTGGTGATGCGAGTGAATTTAAGGCCAGCAAAGGCTGGTTTGAGAGATTTAAGAAGCGTACTGGCATACACAGTGTGGTAAGGCATGGTGAGGCTGCCAGTTCGGACCACAAGGCGGCTGAAAAATGTGTGCATGAATTCAAGGAGTACATAAACAGTGAAGGACTGAAACCTGAACAAGTGTTCAATTGTGATGAAACAAGCCTCTTTTGGAAGAAAATGCCAAAGAGTGGTCCTAGTGGCATTAAGAAACAGAGAAGAGAAGTAACCCCAGAAAAGCAATTGGTACCCGAGGTGTTGATGGAAGGGGATTCCCCTTCCAAACAGTAAATCATCCAATCTGTCTCCTTCTCCACCCCGCCATACACAAAGAAGAATCTCCAATAAAGGTAAGTGTTATTCTGTTAATGTTTAATTCATCATGTGCCACTGTATTGTTTATGTACTACATCTATATTTCATGTAAAAAATTTTTTTGTTTTAATACTTCTGGGTGTCAGGAATGGATTAATTGAATTTACATTATTTCTTATGGGGAAAATTGATTCGTAAATCGTCCATTTCGATAATAGTCCCACTTCCAGGAACGGATTATGGACGATTATTGAGGGACCACTGTACGTATTTGGAAATTTGAAATCTTCAAACTTCTATTTTGTCTGTGTCTGTGAGCTCATCTAAAATTCAACATTGGATAATTAATACATTTGTCTGGCAGATATGTTTCCAGTAGCTAAAGCTGTACAAAATTATCAAGTAGCTGGTACACCTATTAGCTCCCAATCATATCAAAGACTATACATCATTGATTGTTATTAATTTGTCGAGCATTTTTGAAGCGAAACCAGCTGTCTTTGACTTTATATAATCTTCTCCTCACATATTCTTAGCTGTTCTTAGGCTTGTTCTGAAATGATAGTGCCAAAAATATTCTGGCACTATAATGTATTTTTTTATTATTGTTGTATATTATTGTTGTATATTGTTGTAGGTTGGTAGACAGCAACCACCCAGGGAGGTACTACCATCCTGCCAAGTGAATGTAAAACAAAAGCCTGTAATTGTTTTACATGATGGTAGGATAGTCTGTCTCATAAATATGCAAGATTACAGGTATGTCTTGCTACTTCTACTTACACTTAGGTCAAACTACACATACATGTACACATTTATTTATACACACTCATCTGAGTTTTCTTTGATTTTATCTTAATAGTTCTTGGTCTTATTGCTTTTCCTTTTATATCCATGGAGAAGTGGAATAAGAATCTTTCCTAGGTAAGCCATGCGTCTTGTAAAAGTCAACTAAAATGCCGGGAACAATGGGCTAGTAACCCCCTTTCTTGTAAAGATTACTAAAAAGAATAAGAAGAAAATTGTCAAAGTGGGAAGTCTGAATGTGCGTGGATGTTGTGCAAATGATAAGAAAGAGATGATTGTGGATGTTATGAATGAGAAGACGCTGGATGTCCTGGCTTTAAGTGAAACAAAGCTGAAGGGGGTGGGAGATTTTCAGTGGAGAGGAATAAATGGGATTAGGTCAGGGGTTTCAAATAGAGTAGCAATAATGTTGAAGGATAAGTTATGGCAGGAAAAGAGGGACTATAAATGTATTAATTCAAGGATTATGTGGAGTAAAATAAAGGACGTGAATAGTGGGTTATAGTAAGTATATGCACCTGGAGAAGAGAGAAGTGTAGAGAGAGAGAAATTTTGGGAAATGTTGAGTGAATGCGTGGGGAGTTTTGAACCAAGTGTGAGAGTACTTGTGGTTGGGGATTTCAATGCTATAGTGGGTAAAAATGTTGTGGAGGGAGTAGTAGGTAAATTTGGGGTGCCAGGGGTAAATGTAAATGGGGAGCCTTTAATTGAGCTATGTGTAGAAAGAGATTTGGTAATAAGTAATACATATTTTATGAAAAAGAGGATAAATAAATATACAAGGTATGATGTAGTACGTAATGAAAGTAGTTTGTTAGATTATGTATTGGTGGATAAAAGGTTAATGGGTAGGCTCCAGGTTGTTCATGTTTATAGAGGGGCAACTGATATATCGTATCATTATTTAGTTGTAGCTACAGTTAGAGTAAGAGGTAGATGGGACAAGAGGAAGGTGGGAACAACAAGTAGGAGGGAAACGAAAGTGTATAAACTAAGGGAGGAGGAAGTTCGGGTGAGACATAAGCGACTATTGGCAGAAAGGTGGGCTAGTGCAAAGATGAGTAGTGGGAGGGTTGAAGAGGGTTGGATGAGTTTTAAAAATGCAATATTAGAATTTGGGGCAGAAGTTTGTGGTTATAGGAGGGTGGGTGTAGGAGGAAAGAGGAGTGATTGGTGGAATGAAGAAGTAAAGGGTGTGATAAAAGAGAAAAAGTTAGCTTATGAGAGGTTTTTACAAGCAGAAGTGTTATAAGAAGAACAGAGTATATGGAGAGTAAAAGAAAGGTGAAGAGAGTGGTGAGAGAGTGCAAAAGGAGAGCAGATGATAGAGTGGGAGAGGCACTGTCAAGAAATTTTAATGAAAATAAAAAATTTTGGAGTGAGTTAAACAAGTTAAGAAAGCCTAGGGAAAGTATGGATTTGTCAGTTAAAAACAGAGTAGGGAGGTTAGTAGATGGGGAGAGGGAGGTATTAGGTAGATGGCGAGAATATTTTGAGGAACTTTTAAATGTTGAGGAAGAAAGGGAGACGGTAATTTCATGCACTGGCCAGGGAGGTATACCATCTTTTAGGAGTGAAGAAGAGCAGAATGTAAGTGTGGGGGAGGTATGTGAGGCATTACGTAGAATGAAAGGGGGTAAAGCAGCTGGAACTGATGGGATCATGACAGAAATGTTAAAAGCAGGGGGGGATATAGTGTTGGAGTGGTTGGTACTTTTGTTTAATAAATGTATGAAAGAGGGGAAGGTACCTAGGGATTGGCAGAGAGCATGTATAGTCCCTTTATATAAAGGGAAGGGGGACAAAAGAGATTGTAAAAATTATAGAGGAATAAGTTTATTGAGTATACCAGGAAAAGTGTACGG